GCACAGTTCTTATACCCTTTTCCTGTCCATTGGATGATTTTTCCCGATGGGTGCAACAGTGCACATCAGGGGTTCCCTACTGAGTCATTCTTAATTTTGTTTGTTGCTGTGCTGACTTCTCTACATTTCATGCTACTCATGATCATTTCTGATTGGAGAGTCTATACAACCTCTTAGTTAAGAGCACTGATTTTGCATCAGTGGAGCAGGGGTTAAATCTTGCCTCTATTACTGTATGACTTTGCACTTACAGCCTTAATATTGTCTTTCCTCCTCCAAAATCTTTATCTTCCCAGACTACATTTGTAAACTGGGCTGCTGACAGGATCTGTGTCATAAAGCTGCAGTGAATGTTAATGAAATAATGCATGTAAAGCACTTATAGTAAGTACTTGGTTGTGCACTACTGTTACTACTGTTTTTGTTGTTTTTTTTTTAATTTTTACCACATTAAATCAGAAGCAGCCGAGATGCCTCCTTTTAGTGAAATCACTGTGGGGGAGAGGGGTTGTTGACAGAGTGCCGTTATTTCCTGTTTCTCTTTGTATTCTTCTGCTTTTCCACCAAGTAATCTCTGTAATTAAACATAGATTCTTTAAAAAAAAAAAAAAAGCTCCATCATTCCTGTTGTGAGTATGGTGTCAAACTCTTGAGATAGTAGTCACTTTTGCTTTCTTCCATTTTCCAGTGTTCTTATGCAATATCCTCTTTTTTTGCTCTCTTTGTTCAGTCAGATATTTATTACTGACTTTATTAGCAAACTTTGGACTAGTTATTCTTAAGATTACTTTCCTTCAGAGTGGGTAGAGAGCTAGATCAACTACATTAGTGATTAATTATATTTTGAGTACTTGCATGCTGGAGTTGAGAGTTTGTGTTGTATACAGTAATTGAGTAATTGAGAAAGTCGTTTCTTCATTTGTGTGTTCTCTGTTCAGAATAATCCCACTGATCTGCTGTAGGTGACACAATTGATTGCTTGGGGTGCAGCATGTCCTGCAATAGAAAAGGCTCAGGAGAGATGAAAATTTAGTCATAGGTAGAGCAAGACCTACACGTCTTTCGCATTCACAGTACTAAGTCTTTAGTATTACTTTTGATTCCTTCACTGGAACTTCTGTCTCTATTTTAGCAGCAGAGGGCATGGAATATATTGCTCTTTTATTCAAGCTTTGACTTTCTGTTAGTGAAGTGTGGATATAGCATGCATTTATCTTCAAACTAATTACATCAATAGAAGAAGACACAAATATAAAATGGCCCCTGAGAAATAACTTGTTTTTCTTCCTGTTTATATCTTTTTATCTTGAAAGTGATAAAAGTATTTCCTTTCCTTGAGAAAATACCCTCTTTTGGAGGGACCGGGACATAAAGTAATACAGTCCTGAAATAACTCTTTCTAGATTTTTGCTACAGTGTTACAACTGTAATATAAAGAAATTAAGAGTCAGTTCTTAGATGTGTTCCCTTTGCTGCCTGAGCTAGATAAAGATCAAACTATTTATTAAAATATGTAATATCCTAATATATATATATTAAAGATTATACTTGCTCACAATTGTGAGGTAAAAATTTTTATAGCACATTAAGATCAGTTAAATAAGTTTTCTCTCATCTATGGATCTTCCTTCAGAATAATGTTTAATTGAGTTCTAGTTAGTTTTATGCTTGCTCGATATGACAAACACAAAGTGCTGTTACAGTAACCCTCTAACTAGACTGTACTGAGCAAGTTGTGTATCATGTCTGTGTCCATTTCTTTATCTGTGAAAAGCTGTATTTTCTCAGGTGTAGTATAGGAAATAGATGAAAGAGCAGATATGACAATGCAGAAGGCCCCAAAGATGAGGCATCAGTCGCAGCCAGCCCCTTTATCCCGATAATGGTAGCTGTGGACAGCCAGTTCTCGGCTGCTGAGCAGCCTGCTCACTTAGCAAGTGGGCTGCATGTCTCCTCTGCATACCATGCGAACAACCAGTGCATGTTGAGCACTTATGCTTTACTAAGAAATTTTTGTTTACTAGTTTAATACTCATAACACTGAAGTAGATACTATCTTTTATTCATTTTTCTTTTTGAGGGAATTGAGACTTAAAGACATCAGCTAGTTCCACAGCTAGTAAATATCCTTTCTGATTCCACCCATCCATGCATCCGTCTATCTGCCCATTTCCTCATCAGTCCTGTGGTCATCTGCCTTATGGCAGGTGCTATGCTAGGGCTGGGTATACACAAGGAGCAAAACACAGAACTGTACTGTCATGCAACTTACATTTTGGTGGGGGAAGACAGAAAATAAAAAAAGTGTAAAATAAGACTTTATTCTACAGTACTGAAAATAACACAGTGACAAAGTAAACTCCTTATTTTTAGAGGATGAAAGTTGAGAAAGAGTAAGGTGGGGAGAAAAGAGAGTGTGTATATGTGTAGATAATAATAATGTAGATATTATAACCAGAAATGACCTCATCAAGAAGCAATAAGGGCCTGAAGGAGTCGAGGGAAGCCAAGTGGAGAATACAGTCGCAGTGAAAAAACAAGTGCATTTTCACAGCAGAGGACAAGAATATGCCTGCTGTGTTTCAGGAATCACAAGGAGACCAGCATTGCTGGCATAGAATAAATAAAGTGGAGAGGAAGTAGTGGGAAAGTAAGGTTGGTGAAATAATATGGGGCAGAATTAATTATGAGAAATAGGGTTTTGAGCAGGAGACATGAGGTCTGGTTTGTGTTTTAATGGGATCATTCTGTCGACTGTGTTGAGAATAGCCTGATAGGAATTAAAGGTGGAATTAGGATACCATTTAGGAAGCAGTTGTTACAAACCTAGGCTAGACATGTTGAGGATTTAGTCCAGGTTTTTACAAGTGGAGGTTGTGAGATATGGTTGGATTTGCTGGATTTGTCTGTGGGAGGGAGTGAAGGGATATGTGAGAAAGAGAATAGTCAGGAATGACTTCAAGGTTTTATTTCCTGAGCACTAGAAAAGAATATACGGAGGAGGGGATGACTTGAAGCAAGAAGTTTTGATAAGAAAGATAGGAATTCACTTTGGACATAGTGAGTTACTTACCAAATTATCCACTTGGATACGTCTACCTGTTTGAAGGTCAAAGGACTGGTCAGGGCTGGAAATATATATTTGGGAAGTATCAGTGTGTTTATGCAATACAGAGCTATAAGTATGGATAAGATTGAGAGTAGTATAGGTAGAAAAGTCCTCTTAGTAAGTTATTGAACCTGATCATAATGGGAGGTCCCCAAGACTACCCTCATATTTAGTAATTCACTAGGAGGACTCACAGAAATTAGCAAAAAGCTGTTAAATTTTGTTATAGCAAAAGACTTAAAATTAACTATAAGCAAAGGCACTTTTTTTTTTTAAAAGATTTATTTATTTGTGCATACAGAACTGGGGTACAGGCCAAAGGCTCAAGGGCGGTGAGAGGACTCACCAGAGACAGAGTGGGGAGCAGAACAGGCTGACTAACAAAGTACACTGCTGAGGGGAGCAGCGGGCGGGTCAGGAGAGGTCTGCCGCGCCATGTGGTCACCTCCCGGGCAGGCGGGAATCGAACTCATGTGGAAGTGGCTTTAGTTTCTCAGGGCTGTGCTTTAACCCGCTGTGCCACCAGGGAGGGCCAAGCAAAGGCACTTTTTAAAAAAAATTTTTTTAAACCTTTTTTAAAGATTTATTTATTTATGTATACAGAACTAGAGTACAAGTCAGAGGTGCAGGGCAGGTGAGAGGATTCACCAGAGATGGGGGGGTGGGGGTGGGGTGGAGTGTGCAGAACAGGCAGATAGACAAAGCACACTGCTGAGGGGAGCAGTGGGCAGGTTAGGAGAGGTCTGCCATGCCATGTGGGTCATCTCCGGGGCGGGGGATTGAACTCATACTGAGGCAGCTCTGCTAGCTTGCAATGCTACGTCCTAACCCATTGTGCCACCAGGCAGGGCCCCGCAAAGGCACTTTAAGATAAGGTCTAGGACAATTCCAGGCAGGAGCTTCCAGCTCTTGCCCTGTGGAGTCATATGGACAGCACTACCTTAGCCCAGCAGTGAAAAGTGGTAACATTGAGAGTATTACCTACCAAGGCATGGTGACCAGGGTTTTTACTGAGGATTAGTCACAGAGACATGGCTGATTGTCCATGTTGCTGACCTTGGCAGTCCCTCCAGAGCTGGTACCATGTGGCCCAAGGTTCCTGGCCCCATAAATCAAATTGTTAGTTTAGACTATTAGGCATTGCACAAAGACCTCAAGTAAAGAAGAAAGCTACCAGTAGAGACTTTCCAGTTATGTCCCAGGAGCTTGGCCAAGGGCAAGGGCCAAATCTTTCTTTTGTCAAGGTTAACCCTTTCCCACATGGCAAGTAGGATTGGAGATAAGTGCTCTCTATGTGGCGACAGCATGAGCTGAGGTACAGTAGGGATGAATACTCCAGGTTTAGAGTATTGCAGTGTGGCCTTGTATTTGAGAATATGAACTCTGAAGCCAGACTGCCATTATGCACATTTCAGCTGTCACCTGCTAGTTGTAGAATTTATGGCACTTATTTTTATCTGTCTATCTAATTTATATATGTAAAACAAGGGTAATAATAACACCTACTTTATAAGATTATTGTGAAGATTGTTTAATATATAAAGCACTTACAGTATATTCTGGCATATCATAAATGCTACAGAAATCAGGAGATTGTTCATTCCGTAATCATTTACTCAGTGATTATTTTTTGAGCCATAGCATATTAGAGACTCATGCTGTGAACCTCAGACCTTTATTCCCAGAAACCTAGTGATATAACTAAAAGATTTGACTCTGAATTTTAACATGTTAAAAAGTTTTTCACTTGAATTCTTTCTGTTAATGTAAGTAGTACAAACCTAGCTTATTTGTTCAGAGACTTTCAGATATTGACTATTGTAAAGATTGGACTTAAAAAATTTTGATGAACTGGAAAGTTTAACTTAACTCTCTTCTTATATATGCACAGGTCTGTATATGATGACCAACCTAATGCACACAAGAAATTTATGGAAAAGTTAGATGCTTGCATACGGAATCATGACAAGGAGATTGAAAAGATGTGTAATTTTCATCATCAGGGCTTTGTAGATGCCATTACAGAACTCCTTAAAGTAAGGACTGATGCAGAAAAACTGAAGGTAAGAAATAGCTAACCTTTGTTTTTATTAAATTGCTCAAGTATTCATTTATAGAGCATATGTACAAATCATTATTAAGAATACTACTATCAAGGAGTGAATTAGTTTGTGTTTGAAAATGCTCTATTTATTGTTGTGTTTGAAAATGCTCTATTTATTGTATTGCTCTGTCAACACACTGTCTTTCTAATGACTGGCATAATCTTTTTTGAAAAGCAGTAAATTACTGACTTAAACAAAATTTCTTTCTGTGTAGGGAAGTGAAATAAACAATTCATTCAATGAAAAACCTCATTTGCCCTTTGGAATTTGTAACACAACAATTATTACAATATTGCTAAAAGCTGTCCTATAAAAACTTAAAAAAGTAAAATGTGTTCTCAAAATTATTTAATAATATTGAGACTTCAGTTAGCAATGTGTGATTTTTAAAAAGAAGGTTGATTGGCATTTTCTGCTACATAGCAAAACATTATTAAAATGGGATCTAGATTTATTCAGTCAGAATATAAAACATTTAGTTTTAAAAGAATCATACTACTTACCTTTGTTTAGAGCATAGAAGAAAGAATGACCCTAGTTTACCAAAGATTATGATTAGAAAACCATTATATAAAGGATATTCAGATAACAAGAGCCCAAACACAGCATCAGTAAGGTCACTGAGCATCTTTGTTCAGAAATTAATGAGATTTTTAATAAACTAGAATGTTCTTCCTTACTATAATGACTTAGTGAGTCATTTAATATGTGGGAAAATTTGGGGTTGAGCCTTGCCTGCACCTGCAGCATTAAAATGTTGCTGTGGATTGAAATTTCTGTGTTTGATGTTAATCAACCACCCAGTGTTTGCATTCAGCAAAGTATGAATGTTTAATTACCATCAAATGCAATCACCATTTCCTACAGATAATGAATGGCACATAGACCTCATTGAAATTATCAAAAAGGGACCAGTGGTCAATTGGGTCAGTGATTTGAATTGTTTGACAGATTTAGAGAAGAAAGTAAAGTTCAAAAATCTTGAGTAAATTTGAGAAGTTTGCCACAGAATCTGTTAAAAAGAACTGTCATAAGTAATTCAAGTTCACAAAAGCCCTTTTTAATCAAAAGTTCAAGTTCAAGCTGTAGAGTTAATTTGAATTTGCATTTCTTTGTTCTAAGTTTCTCATGAAGCATGATCTGATTACAAGGGTGAGCAGTTACATCAGAGCAGTTTTATGCATATTTGTTTAAACTAAGGTGAAATTATTTTTAAGGTGCAAGTTACTGACACCAACCGAAGATTTCAAGATGCTGGAAAGGAGGTGAGAAAAATGGTGCAAATTTTTTTGTATTCAGTATGTGGATTTAATTTAACTGTTCATTTAAAAATATGAACATTTCTTCTTCTCTAAGGTGATAGTCCAAACAGAAGATATTATTCGATGTAGAATTCAGCAAAGAAATATTATAACTGTAGTAGAAAAATTGCAGTTATGCCTTCCAGGTGAGTTAACAGTGTTTATAATAATAACATTTGACATGGTATAATTTAACAATAATATATGGTCGTTTTTCCATTATGGGAATTACTGATTACTTGGGGATTCTCCCCTCCAAACCCATGGTTATTTTTCCTACTTACTGATGTGTTATAGCAGTCTCCTGCTGTCACCTCTGTCTTCCATTTCCTCTCTGCCTCATTTGTCCTTTGTCTGACCAACCCCCTTCCCATCCAGTTTCTTTTCTTTTTACTCAGAGTACTTTCCTGTGGGGATAGTGGCTTTTGATTGTAACTTCTCACCTTTTCCAATTATGTGTAATTTTTACCTCTGGTTTTCTGTTTTTAACTTAAGCAAGTTTATTTTGCTTTTCCCATATCTCATTTTTCGGATAAACTAAGAGGAGTGCCCAAAAGCACAAGGTCTTCTCTTCTCTGTCTTGCACCTTCTATATTATGGAAAATGACTTTTTAATTTTCTGAGTTTCTGGTCTTTCTGTTAAGACTCAGTATTATTAGTGCATCAAATACATTCTGGAGAAATGAGTCAGTATTTTCTTTATTCATATGTCAAGGAAGCAGGTGTATGTCATCTGTTTTCTTAATATAGTAAAGCCTAAGTCCATCCCAATGTCCCGTTTTTTAGGTTTTTGGTTTTTTTTTTTCTTAATAAGAAACCTGAAACTCATATCCAGGGGAATAGAATGAGATTCTTTGTATAATAGCTATGTAGTGTAAATTTGGCTTATAATATAAGTTGTATGCTGAAGTTAGCAGATTTTATTAACAAAAAAATAAGTTTCTTAACTTGTGAGAATAGCTTTTCTTTCAATTGAGAATCACTGAAATGCTATTCAGTTTAATATCTGATGAACCATGGATATTTGCATATTAACTTCAAAGAAAGTTTATATTTTATAGTGGTGATCTTAGGTTATGGTTTCAGTTTAATGCTTTCTTTGAAAAAAAATGTGAGAAGTACTGCATTATGACATACTGACTGTAATAAAGATATGTAAAAAAGGGTCCTCAGAGTTAGGACTTATATACTATAACCACTATTGAACTTTTTATGGTTTTCAGACAAGTAAACAATATCTTGCATAAACTTGAAGACCCCTTGGGGAGTAGTCATATGACAATAGAAAAATCTGGGAAAAATTTTTGACTAGGAAAATATAAGCTGACTTGATGAACCAATCATAATTTGCTCTTTACATTTTGAAATTCTTCAAAGGGTGAATGATTATATAGTTGCATTAAAGTTTTTTTTGGTGACACAATGTCTCGCTTGCTGAAAGTTATAACAATTTTCTTGAAAAATTGCTTTTCTGACCCCTTGATAGAAATGATAAAAGTAAATGTAAAGATTCTTTTTGTTTACTTATGTCTTTATTGTAATTTATTCTCCTGTATCTTTTCTTTGTAGGTTGGTATAAATTTTTGTTTGTGAGCTGTATAACATGTTGTGTTATTTTATTTGGTATATTGAATGAAAATCAATCATTCTCATTGTCACTCAACTTTCTCTCTCAAATATAGTCCAAATGTCTAATTCCCTTGCAGAGAAGAGATATTAGTAAATTTCTGAAGAGAATAATTGTTAATAATGTCTTAATTACTGTATAGATGTCAGTATATGCAGGTGTTTCAAGTTCAATATAATGTATTGGTGTGGGACATAGTGTTTAATAAATGTAGAAATTAAAATGTTTTTATTTACTTAGGCAGAAAATTAATGAATTTGTAATGTGCTCCTCCATGCTTTTAATTATTTTCATCTCCCAAGACATCTTTTCATCTTGAAAGCTAAAATAAGTTATATTTTTTGATGCAGTGCTGGAAATGTATAGCAAGCTCAGAGAACAAATGAATGCAAAAAGGTGAGTTGGTTACTTTTCTAATAGTTTTTAATAAGAATTTGTTTCTGTTACTGAAAACAGATAATATAATTACAGTGAATCATGTGAAATTTTGTCTGCTAACTTTAATGATACTTTGTTCATGCAGTTTGCCTATCAAAATCATCCAGTAAAGCAAACTATTTTTTGGGGCAATCTTCCCTTTTGTGAGTGACATCACAATTGATAGTGTTGATGTTGAGGGACAAATAGACATCTGCATAGGAGTGAAAAATACTGCTTGCATATTAACTTTGCTTACAAAGTAAGCATGTTGGGGTTCATAAGCATAAGGAGTTATATTTTGATAGTCCTGAGTAGGTAGTCCATATTTCTGTTTTACCACACAAATAAATACACAACAAGTGAAAAATAATTTAAGTAGTTTGTTGGCTGCATAGCAGCATTAGATACTTAAATAGTGCTTAAAATATTTTAAAGATGAGAAATTTTAAATTAAAAAAAATCAAGGTAAATGAGACATTTGAAATAGGAATTTAAATAACTTGAGCTTGCTGTCTTTTCAATTTACTTTTTTTTTCTTTTAAGATTTATTTATTTATACAGAACTGGGGTACAGGCCAGAGGTGCAGGAGTAGTAAAAGGCTTCACCAGAGACAGTGGGGAGCAGAACAGGCACATTGACTAAGTACACTGCTGAGGGGAGCAGTGGGCGAGACAGGAGAGGTCTGCTTGCACTATGTGGGTCAGCTCAGGGGTAGGGATCGAACTCACAGAGGCAGCCATGGCTTTTCAGTGCTGTGCTTTAACCTGTTGCCACAAGGGAGAGCCATCTTCTTTTTGTTCTTTAGATAGCGTCTTCTTTTTAGCATCCAAATCAAAGGGAAGGTATAAAATATTATTTGATTAATTTAAAAACAGCTTTATCTACTCTCAAATGGATTTTGATGGTAAATATTGTTATAGGAAACTGACAGTTTTAGAAAATCTCAGTTCTACTACAATTAATTATAGTACCTTGGTTAAATGATATATGCTTTCATTTTTCTCATTTATCGAAGGTTAATGGTAATATCCACCAAACATATCTACCTATATGAACTTCTAGACAAATTAAAATATTTAGATGAAAGCATGTGTCAGTTTTGCTAAGGCAAAGCTATACTTTATTAATTGTTGCATATTCAACCTCTTATACAGTGCCTTATAAACAATGGACATTCAGTCAATATTTGTTAAGTTGAAAACTTCATTCTCTTTTACTTGTTTTCTTTTGACACTTGGGTTGTTGGAAAAGTCATAACGCATTTTTGCTTGAATAAATAGAATAATACATCTGACAACCCAATATTTCCAATAACCTTAAATAATGTAAAATTTTCAAAAAAATTTCCTCAAAATAAATTTTACCTCAATTAGAATTAAACCTGTGTTATATACTTTGTTGATGATCATGGTTGTAGTTAGGAGAGAGATTGGGAATTCATATATCAAATGCCTAAATATTCTTATTCAAAGTCTAGGAACTATTATAAATAAACATCTAATATACCGTAATGATGATGGTAATAGTTTAATCTAAAGCAAGAAGTTTTCAACCAGCAATTAGTTCATTTGTTTTATAGTTAGTTCTTAATAATAGAAATGAATGTCAGTTTTACTTATTTTAACCATACACCTATTTTGATGGTTGTGTTGGACTGATTACTTGGAATTACTTATAAAATTAATATGATAAGAACTTATTGTAAAGTTTTCTTTTTTAACTTGGCATAGGTATTATTCTGCTTTAAAAACTATGGAGCAATTAGAAAATGTTTATTTTCCCCGGGTTAGTCAATACCGGTTTTGTCAGCTAATGATAGAAAATCTTCCTAAACTCCGTGAAGATATTAAAGAAATCTCTATGTCTGATCTCAAAGACTTTTTGGAAAGCATTCGAAAACATTCTGACAAAATAGGTGAAACAGCAATGAAACAGGTGAGATGAAAAAGAAAAATTTTAATTGTTATTTAATCTGTTATAGAATATATCTAGAATTTACTTTTTAACTTATATAAGTTGCTTATTTTTGTTTAGTTTTACCCTTTACTTTCTTGACTTTCTTATTTAGAATGAATTTCATCAGTGTTTTCTTTTTGGTTAGATAGTAAAATCTATCTGACTTGATTTAACTCACTCAGTCACCAGGTTATCGCTTGGCAAACTCCTGCATGGATGTGGTATTACATTAACTTTGCAAACAATCAAATTCGGTATAAAATTAACTGAGGCACTTGGGAGCCTTTATGCTAAGGCTCTAAGTTGCTTTCTTTTCAAACCATGCTAAAAGTGTTGGCTTTGAATTAACTCCTACATCTCAATAATAAAAGAGTCAGGCAATGGAGAAGGATTTATCTGTTATAAAGTTAATATATGTACTTTTTGAGTCAGCATTTCCTCTCTTAGGTATTTACATGAAAACATGTCCTTATTATATTTATACCACCTTTTTAAACAATTAGCTCAAAATTGGAAGCAACCTAAATAAACTTCAAAAGAAGCACAGGTACACAAATTCTACTAAATGGTAATATGTAGCCTCGTCACACTTAGTGACACTGTGCATTTGAGGCTAGTCCCATACAACCAAAGTGTGTAGTAGGCCCCACCATCGAGATTCATGAATTATGCTCTATAACACTTATAAAATGACAAAATTGTATGAAGTTACATTTCTCAGGATGTATTCTTATTGTTAACCAACATTTGACTGGAGTCATACAATGGAATATTACTTAGCAATAAAAGGAGTAAATTATTCATATATGCAACAATATATAAGTTGAAGCTACAATATTATGTGACTTGTTTTTATGCACAATTCTGAAGCAGGCAAAACTAATTTAAGGTGAACAAAAAATAGAACAGCAGTTGCCTCTGGGTGGGGAAATTACCTAAGAAAGGAATTGGGGTTTTTTCTGGAGAGGTGAAAATTTTCTATATCACTAGGAAAATATATGCATTTGTCTAAATTGTATAGTTAAGATTTATGTACCTGATGTTATTAATCTTAACTCAGAAAATTGTAAGGAAAAATTAGAGTATTCGTGGAATTAATGGGTAAAGGCCTAGATGACCCAATAATGTATAAATATTAATTACTGAAGAAAGATACTGAATACATAGGAATTTGTTCTATTAATTTATTTACTTTGTTTATATTTGAATTTTTTGGTAATAAAAAGCTTTTAAATGATTATAATATAATTAAAGGTTCTAAGGATTAAATCAACTTCCAATAATCATAATGGCATAGAAATAAAACAATATGTAACATGCTTTCTAATTCCTTTTTTCTCAAGATTTAGAAAATAGCAGATTTGATTTTCAGATTAGTTATTTTCTGAATTTATTTATGTTCTTACATTGTTGTTCATTTTTGTTCAGTAATTGGTGGGCCCTATAGTTCTCCCACCACCATAAAGCCTGTGACCCATCACCATAGTCTCTTGTATTCTTACCCCTCTTGTCATTATAAGAAAATATGAACAAATTCTTGAACCAATTTTGACCATAGTAAAATATAAAATAATCTTTTATTTTTCCAAAATAGGCACAGCAGCAAAAAGCCTTCAGTGTTGCTCTGCAGAAGCAAAATAATATAAAATTTGGGAAGCATATGTATGTAAATGATAGAATTCCAGAAAACAGGAATGAAATTATATTGAAACATACATTTGAAGAAGATGATGAGAACGAAGAGGAGGTAAAGGGCCTCTTTATTATTGAGTAATTTTTTTCCTTTGAGTTGGTGGTAATATATTTCCTTGTGACCTCATTTCTCACATCTGTGTTACTATCGATGTGGGTTTTTTTTTTTCCTATCATTTTTCTTGATAGCACTATAATTTGAATCTACTCTGAGGACACTTGAGAATAGAAATGTGTTCCTTTAGGGTGTTCATCTACTTTTCAAGTTTAAGAAACTTTATACTGCTTTATTTAATAAATTCTAGGGTGCACTTTTTTTTATTATAACATCTCAAAATCAGGTTACCAATATAAATTGATAATGTAATTTCAAGTAGTAGGGTTTTTTCTTAGTAGCCCATAAAGTAATAATGATAATGTCTTCAATTTGAGGAAATACTAGTAACTCTCATGATTTAACTGCATAAGAGAAGAAACTTTGTCTATAACTAAGCCATAAATCACACACCCTCTTTGCAGAAAGCAATTATAAGTATCTACTTACCCATAGCAATTTTCTGATAATCAGCGGGGCATATTAAAGATAAAGCACCTCTCCCTGTTATACATTATAACTTAAAACAGTCAACATGATGAGTCATGTATAAAGAATCAGTGAACACATACAAAACAATGAAAAGGGCATGGCTTTTATATGTTATAACATGAATTTCATGAATCCCCTTGTATATTTTTAACTGTACGTTATCCAGGAATGGACTAGTAGTTTGACCAATTGTATTTAAAGCATGATTTTATTTTTCAGATCTTAACTGTTCAGGATCTTGTTGATTTTTCTCCTGTTTACCGATGTTTGCACATTTATTCAGTTTTGGTAAGTATGTTATGTGGTTTATAAAACACACACCTAGTCACATGTTGCTTGATGACCCTCAGTCAACAATGACAGTTTTTTCTGTCTTATATGGGCACAGTAAGTAAAATGGGCACAATGAGTTAGGGAGAATACTGGTAGGCACTTCTGTTCTGTATTATCCTTTTTCTACATC